CTGCCACGTAGATTGCAGAGCCTCTATTGTGATCTCCAGCTAGACGGCTTTGGGTTCAGGGCTTCTCTGAAACCCAAACAACATTCCCTTTCATGGAATCGTGGTGGACCTCAACATATGCGAAAAAGATGGAACCCTGGAATGGTGATTTCTTGGGCGAAAGGCGGAGATGGGCCTAGGATCCGATTCGGGGTTCTGTTTGGAAGGCTTACATTCCCTTCGCAGATCGGATTTCACACGGAGGATCCGGCAAGGGCTGTTACGCGGGTTTAGAGTTTAGAGCAGTTTCGGCTTAGGGCTTCGGGATTAGCACCTAAAGTTCCTAAAGTTCACGATCTCGGGTTGCTATGCTGCGCATTGGTAATCTTTCGCTGTGGTTTTGCACAAGCTTTGGATTTCCAGGCCTCCCTCACTTTCTTCAGTTTGGGCCTGAGGTGCGCGACTTGTTGTTTGACCTTTCTGTGCGTTGGCTCCCTCATACCCTTCTAAATCCTATGAACCCTCCTGGTACCCTTACTAAGAACCCTCACGAAATCCTTGTTCCAACCGTGAACCCTTCTTTGACTACCAGGTCAGACCTGAGGCTCCGACATAGCAACTTTCGTACAAGTTCTTGGAGAGATCCTCCGAGGAGTTTAGGGTTTAGGGTTTAGGGTTTAGGGTTTAAGGGTGTAGGGATTAGGGTTTAGGGTGCCGGAGGCACAACAGAGGGTTTTGGGCTGCAGTATGCGGTCTAGTTTTGGGGTTTAGAGTTTGGTTGGGGGTTTTGGGCCGTGGGCTTCAAAAACAAGGCTTCCCGGTTGGAGTTGGGAGAATCAGCAAGGCAGCAATTGCCAAGTGAAAACCCGGCTCATCCCGCAAACCCACGGACTGCAAGAATATCACCATAACAGAATTGGCAATGATGCTCTTGATCTCAATATGCTTTTGAACAGCTTTAGCAAGGGTGAAGCTTTAGCAAGGGTGATCATGACACAAAGGCGAGAAAAATGCAAAGCCAAAAATACGACAGACAACCAAGCAATCACCACGGCATTGCTGAGCTTCTCAGATCAACGGCAAAAGACAGGCAAACGGCCGCAGAGTCCTCCGCGATCTTGGCGATGTTCTTCTCTGTCGGCTCAACGAAATATACCTATGCTCTTTTCCTAGAAGTCTTCATTCACGGTTCTTGCTATTGCCACTGTACTCACGAGTCCTATGGCTCCCGCGCTTAACTCTTTTCGTTGTTTGAAGTTGCAGGGCGAAGTACGTGCAGCATTGGCTGTAGCACAACTGCCAGTAGTAGCACTACACCACTACGGCTCCGATATTGAAGATGTGATGTTGTCCATGGTCGGTGGCCTGGACCCATCCATTTACTCCAAGGGACAGCTGGCACGTCTGCCACCGGTAACCGCTCGCTGTTGATGTTCAAATGCAGGGTCACCTCAGCGGGGTCCCTAGCACGAATGGCTTGGGGTTTGTGGGGCTATAGAGTTCATGCTCCGTGTGAGGAATTATCCTTGGCCTACCCAATAGAACTAGGGAAATAAATTATCCCCACAAAGAGTGCGATTTCAATGGAAAAGAGCCAAGCGTCGCCGTGGTTTCGCAGCCCGCCAACCTTCAGCAGTTGAGCCACTACCTCCTGGAAGGCCAACAGCATGCAGGGAGATTACTTGAAGTACAAGGCTTAGAACTTGGGGTTCAGGGTCTGAAATGGGAGTACAAGTACGGGAAGGGGCCACTCTGTGCTTGCTGACACACTAAACCCAAAACCCAAAACTCTTCCTTCATCTGTGGCGTGTACTCTGACGGAAATCATGACGCCCCGACAGCTTGAAAGCTGAACTGTCAGACAAGCCCTTCCAGGATTTAAAACTTCAGACCTTAGGGTTTGGGATCCGGAGTTCTACAGTCTCGACACCTTTTTTGGGGCGCAGGATTGCCTGGCAGAACTTGTCGTACACCAGGACCTTCCAGGTAGAGGCCGTGGCAAACGTCTGATCTGCTGCTTCTCCGAGGTTCAGCATGCGCAGCCTCAGGGAGCTTCTGAAGTCCCTACGATGACCATTCTAGTACATCGCAGCATATAATGGTATATTATAGTATGGCCTGCCCACAAGCTTCAGTACGCCTTACGCCAGTGGGAATAGCACCACAAGTTGTCCTTGTGATGAGATGATGCTCATCATCGTAGTCACACTCTCCACACCCCCAACACGAAACATCTTGCTATGATCATGCCTATTGCCAATCTTTTCACTACCAGTAGTGTTCTCACTGTTGTTGCTATCTGTGCTTACCATCACTGTTCTTTGTACTTTCTGCTGTGCTATGGCGTAGTACGAGCCGGGGCACACGGCCGCTTTCTGCAAGTCCAGGATGCCTTGAGCCATCCTCGGGAGTCCGGGTTCTCCGGACTTTTCCAAGGTGCTTTTCGGGTTTTGGGTTTAGGGTTTAGGGGTTTAGGGTTTAGGGTTTTTGGTTTAGGGTGTTTTGGGGGTTTTCTGGCTGGTGCTTGGCAGGAATGAAGGAGTGGATCCCCAGCAAAATCCCTGATGCGGTCCCTTATCCGCGAGTTCTTGGCCGCGATACGGGACCGCATCAGGGATTATGCTGGGGATCCATTCCTTCATTTCCTGCTAAGCACCAGCCAGAAAGGATTCAAGGAAACCCCAAAACAAGCAGGAAGTGGACAAAAGGAAGCTGACAACTTCTGGAGGGTTTTAGTTAAGGCTTAGGGTTTAAGGATAAGGGACTCGGGCTTAAGGCTCAGAGCTTGAGGTGTAGGACTAGTATATACCATTTTTGAGAGTTTCGCAGGCTTTTGCAGAGGAGGGGCAACTGCTACCTGGACACACAGCTCAAGCAGCACATAGGGTTGGTAAGATGGGCCATTGGGGCTTGCGGGGCGAACAAAGAAGACTTATCGTCTGAAGTTAGGGATGCATCTTCCGAGCGTCCTGGGATTGTAAGGTGCGCAAGCCTTTGTGAAGAGTTTCTGCTGTTTCCGGGCTTGGGCAGGGTCCATGCATTCAGTGTGGTTGGTCTTCTGTGGCTCGCTACCTTTGCCTTTTGAGGCTCTGCCAAAGCCGGAGCCATAGCGCATCACAAACACTCTGAGTTGTCAGGGGCCTTCAACTAAAAGCTTCAGGATGCCGAGACTCCTCGGCATTACGACCCCGTATCAGCCTGGGCAATGCCAACAAGATGCAAACCACAGAGAAACCTGCAATCCAGTGAAAGACACCACTTAGCAGGACAGCCAACGCCGAGTAGTTTGAGGGGTTTGAATCGTTGAAGGTTTCGGCACACGAGGAACAAACCCTGGACTTTGCCACTGCGCCTGGACCCTCGGCCCCGCGCCCCACTCAGCAAGGGGGCGACAGCTTGAGCTAATAACGCTGCGCATGGCAAAGTGCTCAACCCGAAATCCTAGGACGGCCGCTCTCAGTGAAAGCTGTTGGTGTTCGGATTTGCATGACGAAGGGTCCACAGACAAAGCAGATGAGCCATTCATGGGGGGTCTAGGAAGGCCTGCACTCCTCTGCAGGCCGTGGACACAAAAGGCAGTCTCATGATTTCGGGGCGAAGCCTGCGGCAGGAGGGTTTTGGGTTTAGAGCTTGCACGCAGAGACCTGCGAAATGCACGAAGCCATCCCGCCCCTTCAAGCAGGATCGCCACCGACTTGGCCCTAAAGGAAGTACTTCTTATACTGAAGCCTACAGTAATGGGTGGCGCAACCTTGGCAACAGGGGCAACAGGCGCGAGAACTCTGCTCGTAAGGCGCGCAGGTCCAACTACAGACACCTGACAGGAACTCGCAAAGCCGCGGTGCCAATTCCAATTCGCAGTTGAGAAACGCTGAAGCGCCAAACCCCGAAACCCTAGACATACACTGCTGCACTTCAAGCCTCTACGATGCGAAAAGTGACACAGCTGAGCTACGGACCCCAGTCGCCCTACCACGGCAGTTGCACCTGGGATCGAAGTTGCCACTTTGAACGCCGCAGCCCCAAAATTCAATCGCTGGGCCACCGACCAAAGAGCGCCTGGGTCGTCGCTAAGCACCAGGAGACCAATGCCTCAGTCTTGAGACGTGCTAGAAGATGGTTTGGTCTTCAGGGAGCACGAGGGTTGTCGGGGCCTTGGTGCACATGCAGCCACTTGCATTCAGAGCTCATGCTGCAGATTGCTTCGAGGAGCTTACAACCCGTCCCGCTTGCTCCACCCACTGGGGATGCGGCCATTGCGCCCAGATCCACGCAGTGGACAGGCCATTACGTGGCTCGAGCTCTAACACTACCATTCGAAACCCCGTTTCCATGCAGGCTACATCCTTGAAAGTCCATCTGGATTGCATCTGCCAGGGCTCTTGACAATTCTTGAGCACCACTTGTCGAAGGATCCTACAGTTCCATGGTCAGACTTGCCACCACCCCTGCAAGCCGTTTGCCACAACATGCGAGCTGTCCAACGCCGGCATCACTGCATGCGCATGTTCAAAGAGTCAGTGCTGCTATGCACATACACAATACACACCAGACCCCGACAAGCAACACCCGACATGACAAGCCTCTTGCAATCCCGAACCCCTTAGCTTGAATCCCCATAACACACTACACAAGCTTGCACTAATTAAGCAGGCATGAGCAAGTTTTGGCCACGCAGCACTGCCGCGATCGCATCCTGCGGCCAAGTCGAATTTGCGAATCAAGTTTATGCACAGAACTGACCATATAGGTAGCTTGTGACTATTGCGTGGTGGTCGTTGTTGGTGGCGGCGCACGCGGCGGCGGTGCAAGGCCAGCTAGTCATGGTAACAACATGAAGCGAAGCAGCAGCGAGGAACACGACAACTCCATCGGTCATCTTGATTTCTCGCTGGGACCAAGCGTGGGGGGGTGGGTGGTAGCATTGTTCGGGTGGTGAGATCAGGCTGTGAATCAATGGTTGCTGTTAGGGCGCAAGTGGGCTGGTTTTGGTTTTTGGTAGGGGATCCTAACTTAACGAATTACCCAAATGGTGCTTTCAAGGCTTCCTTTGTCGGTGGCGGCAGCAATGAAGGTCGATCGGAATCGGTTGTGGCATCGAGGATGTCCTCGCTTCTCCTGGCTTTGGCTTTTAGCTTTGCTGTTCACGCTTTGGGTTCCGGGTTAAGGGTTCCCGGTCAATGCTAGACCATCCAAGATCCCTTTACTGAGAAGAAATATTCCAGGAGCAGGGGTGCTGACTTACATATGTTGGAGTCGTTGACCACGCCACATGAAGCCCTGCGTGTGATTTCTGCTTTGCCGCGTCAATCCCTGTCTCTCTCTGGTTCCAATACACCCAGTATGCAAGCATCTTTCTATAACTTCAGGGCGTTTTTCCGAAGAGTATGGGCTGTCTAGCTCTTCGCATTGAGCATGCAACGCCGGCATGCCTCCTAAGTGTGCGAAGACAACCTAACCGGCATGGGTCCTTCGTACGAGCTTAGATATATTTCCTGATTAAGTGGTACTGGGCCCTCGGAAGATACATCGCCCGATGCGGAAGCTCATGAATGCATGGCGGTTTCACACACAAACCATGCAGAATGCAGCAGGTGCAAAAATATGAATGTATGTGTATTTATGTGTGTATGTATGTATGCATGTCTGTATGTATGTATGTATGTATGTATGTATGTATGCATGCATGCATGTATGTATGTATGTATGTATGTATGTGCGTACGTGTGTGTGTGTATGTGTACGTGAATGAGAGTGTAAAACATGTGTATATACATATACAAACAAAGATATAGATATAGATATAGATATAGATATAGATATAGATATAGATATAGATATAGATATAGATATAGATATAGATATAGATATAGATATAGATATAGATATAGATATAGATATAGATATGGTATACACACGCGTATCTGTAAGGCATCATCTTCTTCGAAACATGCTGAAAGACCACAAAGTGCAAGCCAAACCTCTCCGCCCAAGCCCTGAAACTCTGAAGGAACCCACAAACGTCGCCCCGCTTTCAGCGTTCGGGATTTGAGTCTTCATGAACAGAAGCCCTCCTAACCCGATGCCCCGAGCGTCCTGAAGCGCAGATCTAGGACATCATCCCTCTTCTCGGCAGACAAGTGTGGAGCCAATGGCACTTGTATCCTGGGCTAAGCTCTACGAGCTTCAGAAAACAAAAACGGAAAATGATCGGATCTTCGCTACACAAAGAACCCTACACGATGGAACCCTCATTGAGAAGACCCCAAGACACACCTCAAAATAATAGGGGGTGCCCCTGAAGAAAAGCCTTCCTTATGAGGATGAAGCTGTAGGCTGTCTGTCGGGCTGCAAGGTTAGAAGATGTGGCTAGGGTGATATTTTTATCTGGGTTCTTGTTAAGGGGTTTAATTTAAGTTACCATAATAGGGAAACCATATTATTTACTATAGATCCCTATTATGGTAACTTAAATTAAATCCCTTAACAAGAACCCAGTTATTGTTGTTAGAGTGTTGTTTTCCTCATGCCGGGGCAAACAAAAAGCGTAGAGCTTCCAATTCCAACTGAAATGAAACTTCCTGAGTAGGAGTCGATACCTGAAGTCAGTTTGCACTTTCTTAACTCGAAAACTCCAGACATGGGATTCGAGGCTCTTGGCGGTGTTTGGCTGTAGCCTGCAAGTAATCTCCGGACAACCCGAACAGAAGTCCTAGTTGCCTCATGTCAATGCCAGAGGCTTTGTTGAAGCCTCGGGGTGTTGAGCTTCAGCTCACGGTGGGAACGCGGAGCCTGATGGGAAAGCCTTCAGGCTGCTACCCAGGCTGTCTCGCCAGCAGCTACTAGCAGAAGCAAAGAATCAAGATGAAGAATCCTAGCCCTGGACCCCTCAATCTTTGGTGCTCTAGAACTCGCCCAGCGGCGGCGGCGATGCTGTGACATTCGGCGGCAGTTCCACAGGGCTTGCAGTCCGCTTGCTGCCTCTGGGCAGGTAATTGTAGCCATTGTAGTCGTTGTACAGCAGCAGCAACAGCAACAACGACAAGACTTAGCCAGTCCTGATACGAGCTCCATGCTAGTACCAATCCTGATGCTACTTCTTCTGCTGCTGCCACGATGGCGACGACGAGGACCACAGCGATCACGGCGGTGATGATCACCACGAAGACCACGACGATCACGAAGAACACGACGATCACCACGACGACCAAGACCGCCACGACGACGACGACGACGACGACGACGACCACGACCGCACAACAAGCACAACGACGACGAGCATGAACACGATTGCTGAGAGTTGCTTAAAAGTTTGTCTGTTCGATTCCTACGCACTGCTATCGACAATGGCTATGTTGACAGTCACCCATTAATGCTTCATGGCTGAACATGGCAATTTGGCGTGCTCTTGCTGAAGTCGCTCCGAGGTTTCTGCAAGTTGTCTTTCGGGTTTGTACACATATATATATATATATATATGTATATACACACACATCTACATGCATATATATATATACATATATACACATATATGCACATGTATGTATGTATGCATGCATGCATGTATATGTATGTATGTATGTACGCATGTATGAATGTATGTGTATGTGTATATACATACATATATATATATATATATGTAAAAAAGCATATAGAATCACTGCGCACTTCAAGTGCTGCGGCCACTCCCCTCGCTTCTCTTATCGTTCGGACCCGGCTTTGAAATGCCAAAATACTTTGACGAAGGCATGATGCTGATCCTGAATTCAGGGAAGGAAACAGATCCCAACGAAAGCCCTCGGACACAACACTCTTGCACCAAAGCCTCTTCGCAAAGCCAAGTCCTAAACTGCTTCTTAAAGAAACTTTACGACAACACTGAGATGTCCAGGCACTGTTGGTGTGTAGGGTCTTGTTGGTGTCATGGTGCTTTATATATGGTACTTAATGCCTTGCTTGAAAAGTCCTCATTCAAGAAATACTTGGAACACTACATCCTAAACCCTGAATCCTAATCCTTGAAGCGCTCCTTCAGGCTGCAAGCTTAAACCCTTCATAACCTTGATTAACCCCGATAGAAAGTCGTTTGGGGCTTGGGGCTTCTGATAGTGATGGCTGATGCATCCTAAGCTAAAGACCTGGATTCCAGAATACCCTAACCCCGTGCACCGTAACCGAGTCGATGGCCGGAGCGGCCGACAGGGATCTGCGCAATGGTGGGGCTGGGCCGGGAATCCCCAAGCCAGGCGGAGACGCGAGGATTGCCTTGTACTGTGGCTTAGTTTAGGGCTTAGAGGCGTAGCAGTTTAGTGGATGAAGGGTTTAGGGCGCTTTTTTGGATGTGTTTGGAGGGTTGGAATTTCCTCTCTAAGCCCTCGGTTGGCACTGTATTTACGGTCCGCACACAAGGAAGAATGAAGGCAAGCCCACATCCGTACTTTCGACGGCACCCTTCGGTTTGCAGTCGCTCAAACGTGCCGGAGATGCATTCACCCTTTATCGAATTCTGAAGGTGGTACGAGTTGCAGCAAGGACAATGAACTTCTTGCGACCTACTGCATTTCAGACCCGTGCTCAGTTTAGGACCACCGCGCGACCGACCTTCGCTTCAATAGGAAACCACGGCCTTCTGTCAAAGCAGAAGCTTACTTTGATGGATCACGAGCTTAGCAACGGCTCGCAGGTTACAACTATGGTTTGGAGTGCCCTAGCTGGGGTGTTCGTGCTTATGCTTCCTAAACGCCCTGAAACTTTGAGCAGCGCGTCGGCCCAGAGGCGCTACAGCTTGGCAGCTTCAGCTACGAGCGACAAGGTACGGGGCTTGAGGGTCTGAGGGTTTAGGGTTTAGGGTCTGAGGGTCTGCAGGTATAAGCAGTATAGGCTATAGGGTCCCATGTACACTTCTCCAACCTCCGGCGCAAAATGCCCAAGCTAGGACGCAAGTCTCACGATCAAACCTAGGACCTAGGACGTGCGCAGCAACACATTTTGCACGCCCAGGCCCCGACAGTAGTTCATGACAACGAAAGAATGATCACAGAATGTGGTTGTTGCTCGAGGCTGTGCCGGGGCTCTTGTCTGCAACATCCTTCCTGCGCTAGCCTCCAGTGCTAGGAGGACTCCTCTGCGGAAGGTGCCGTGTCCTTTGAGGCACCTGGACGAAAAGATCACCGAGAAACGGAGCCCCTGCAACGCATCATGCGGCCCAGCCAGGGCAGCAACGGAAAAGAAACAAGAGAACAATGCCCGTGATTGTCTGTGGACGGGTGCCAGCAGCAAAACCTTCGCCGGCTGGTGCATTCTTGCCGGGGATGGCCTATTGCAGCAAGCGGACGATGTCGGCATGACTTTTGGCAGACGCCGCAATCACAGGAGTTTGCCCACCAGTGTCTGCCACATCCTTGTCGGCGCCAGCCTCCAGCAACAAGCGCACGATCTCGACATGACCTCTGGCAGATGCCACAATCAGAGGTGTGCGCCCGTCGCTGTCGGCCGCATCCTTGTTGGCGCCGGCCTCGAGTAACAAGCGGACATTCTCGACAAGACCTTCGACAGACGCGGCAGTCAAAGGTGTGTTCCCTGCGTAGTCTACCAAGTCTGAGTCAGCGCTGGCCTCAAGCAGCAGGCGGACGATCTCGACATGGCCGAAGACAGCCGCCACAATCAAAGGTGTGTGCCAATCGTTGGCTGCGTTGTCCTTGTTGGCGCCAGCCTCTAGCAGCAAGCGAGCAATCTCCACACGACCGTTGATCGACGCCTCAACCAAAGGTGTGCTCCCTTCGCGGTCTGCCAGATCTTTGTCAGCACTTGCTTCAAGCAGCAAACGGACGATCTCGACATGGCCGTTGACAGTCGCCATGATCAAAGGTGTGTACCAAAAGCTGGCTGCCTTGTCTGGATCTTGGGGCAGCTGCAGCATGCGCTCGACCTCGATCAGCCGACCCTCCGAAGCCGCGATTGCTAGGTCGTCTAGTAGCGATTGGGAAAAGTCGGCGAATGGCAACACCACAAGATCCAGCTCCATGGATGAATCTAGCATTGCCGTCTCCTCTAAATTCTCGCCGTTCTGCAGGAGCCTCTGTCTGAACCGTGGGGGAAAGCCGTGCAGCTGATTCAAACACTGCTTCAAGCCCCTGATGTCGCGAAGCTCCTCCAGCTCCTCGCCAGATATGTCCGCCACCTTTTCTCCTGAGATTAGTCGGATTTGCACCATCTGGTCAATATGCCAGAACTGGAAGCCTTTTTCTCATCAAACGCTGGAAGCACAGAATGCCCCCTTTGAGCCAACATGGCTTGTAGGGGAATTACAGTCTAAATTCTCAAAACCCTTCCTCATCTGGTCTCACCGGAAAACCATGCAGCAGCCCACCTGCCAAAACCCTGAACAGTAGTTTTCAAGCTCCTATACCTTACAACCCCGACTCCAACCCCCAGCGTTTCCCGTCGAGCGGACCAAGGCTTCAAGTTGGGTGCCATTTATAGGATAGAATCTATCCTGCAAAAACGCACCCAACGTGAAGCCTTGGTCCGCTCGACGGGAAACGGCGGATAGAATGGGATTAAACGTGTATTTTTTGAATAGGGAACACACAGGTTTTGCCGCTGCGAACACGAATAGCAGAAATCATGCTCGCCCCCTGCCAGCGAACCACAAACACTCCCGAATAGCCCATGAGCTCTGCATTGGCTTAGCCCCTTTGCCAGGATGAACTGCCAGCGTTCCAGAAAACGGTCTGCACCGATCTAGTGCAGCTGCCAAATCACCTTGCTTACGGCCCACAGGCAGCACGATTTGTCACACCAGGGGTTTAGGGTTTAACCTACACACCAAACCCTGAACATGAAAGAAGAGATCAGTTGCAGGGCGTGGCGTCGCCGATAAGCAACCTTGTCTCGGGGGCAAGGTCTTTCAAGGATATACGAAGAGTCGTTGGTATGTAGGGCTCAGGCTCAGGAGGCAAGGCTTTGGAAGCCAGAATCGGCCATAATATACTACAGTACAATATGCTGAGACATACTGGAATGTACTGTAGAATGCCATGTCAGCCTTGGGTTTAAAAGGGTCGAGACTTTGGGCGATGGCAAAATGGTCCCCAAGCTCCATGCCGCTTGAAGCCCCGAAGCCTGGAGCCCCAGTAATCACGACAACAACACTGCCGATAATCACAATGTAATAATAGTAATGATAATGACACTCATAATAACAACAATAACAATAGTAATGATAATGACACTAATAATAACAATAATAACAATAGTAATAATAGAATAACCACGCTAATAATGACTCATAGGTTTGAGTCGATGTTGCTCTGCTGCCTCAGGTCCTGAAATGCTACGGCGCTAAGCCGACGCCATGGTCTATATAAGTCGGTGATTATACGATCGCTCTCCACCCCACTCCCCGCAAAATACTTGGTCTATTGGGGTATACTGCAATGTTGTACTATCGTGTACCACAGTATTTTGCCGTGAATTATGCTCTTGCACCACCCCTCCGAACCTTACAGAGATCCTGAACTCCCAAGCCCTGCAAGCACGCCTCCAGCGACGTCTTACCCTATCTGATACCAACCCGACATCCCGGGAGACCCTGACACGAACCAACATCTTGAGGAAAGCACGCCTCGAAAATCGGAAGGCCAAGTACGGTGGTTTGTTTAGGGTTGCAGGGGTTTTGACCTGCAACAAGGCTTCGAGAGAGAATCGTGGCCGCAGGCCGGACCCAAAAGCCCAGTGAGCTCTTGCTCTGCACTCCGAGCCCTGCGATCGACAGCCAGGCAACTGCCAGGCGGCAAGGCAGTGCTCCGCCTGAGCCGGGAAAGCCCTGCGACCTTAAAGCCAGAAACCAAGAACCCTAAAACCTAGACCCAAGTCCTGTATAATCCTGAATAATCCCCCACTTCTAAACCCCGAAAAACCCTCCGAGCCTCAAAGCCTAGAGACCCTCGTAGCTGTTGCAAGCCTAAACCCTTTACCGTTACAGCTGTACGCACTAAACCTCATGAGCCCTCATCCTGCAAAAAGATCCCGGCGTCCCAAATTAGGGCTGTGGGATTCTGGGATTTCGGTTTGGGGGCTCCAGGGTTCTGGTTTGAATTTGGCGCTTCGGCGGTGGTCTGGATGGCTGGTGGTTTGAAGCTTGAAGTCCACAAGTATCCAAAGGTAGTTTCACAAGCGTTTAGCGTTCAGGGACTTGTTTTAGTTCAGGACCCCAACGGGCCCCTGCTTCTCGCTTCAGTCTGCTGAAAAAAGCCATGAACATTCAAGGATGATGGTATTGCAACGAGAGCTCGTGGGGTTTGGGTCGTTCCTCTTACTTGCCCTTTTCTTACTGGGACTGCGTAAGCCAGAAGGCTTCAAAAAGAGCACGCATGCGACTTAGGGCTAAAAGCAAAGCCGTCGTATGCCCTCATCATCCAACCCCTTGAGCTCTGGGAACCTAAACCTGATGAAGGTGACTGCGACTTTTTGAAACCCCCAGATCATCCTTCCATCCCGACTTGGCCTTTGCCAATTCGGCGTTCAGGCACGCCAACCTGGCATTTCAACTCTCACACCGGCTCAGCGCGGGCAAGGCCCCATGACGACGTATTTAAACTCGAGTTGCAGCAACAGCTCCTACTCCAGGACGTACATCACATGTTCATAAGGCCTCTGCCCCAAACAACCCGTCAGTGCCCGTCCCAGAGTTCGAGGGCTGTATTCAAGGTGCCTTCCGGGAACAAGGCGGCCAAGGCCATGGCGGCCCTGAACCTTCGGCCATAGCAGAATGTACTGAAAACCCACCTTAAAGGCCCCTTTGGCAAATCTCGGCGAGCCGGCGTGCCACCCCAAACCACGCAGCCGACGGCCTGCGCTGAGATTCGGCTTGCGACTGCTTTTGTTGCGGTTTCTTTTCCAATCCGCCTGAGCATTCTAGAGGGCCCGGTAGTGTAAGGGTTTAGGATGTCGCCTTCAGAGGCAACCACAACAGGACCAGGGCTGGAGTTTAGGATTTTAGGTTTGGAGTTTCGACTCTCTTGGGTGCTGCAGAAGGCTTCAAAGGAGCCCTGCAAAGCACTCCTGATGGCGGGACTTGTAATGTGGTGGCGCCCATGCTTTTCAACCGCCGCTGTACGTCCCAAGCACAGATTCAAGCGGCCTTTGCTCAAACCTGCTGAAATTTCACAAGCTGAAGACATGGTCTGCAGATATCTTACGGCCAAGTCACCCAGAAATGCACCACATCATTACAAGTTCCTTACGTCCGATGGCTCCCAGACTGAAACGAATCCAGAAGCGTCACAGCACCCATCCAAGCACAGGCATGCACCTCGTCCCCACAGCGGTCCGGCTGTTTCCTGCACTTGGAAACAGAGCAGGACGATATGGCGCCACCACGCGGGGGAGCCCGATACCGACTGAGCCAAGCGACTTGACAGCCGTGAAACAACGTACGCGCTTGACGCAACACCAGTCCATCTCGAAGTGCCCTCAGCCCCCAAGAGCTCTGCATCCACATTCCAGGTCTCAAACCCTGTGGACCCTGACAACACCCGAAGACCCAACGCCGCAAGCCCTGTTTCTCTCAGACACTATCACAATGCCCGTACACATCCAGCCACAACCCGTGAAGGCGACGCCACAACCCGTGTGCCACTTTTTGGAGGCCCCTGAACCGCGTGCCGGCACATCCTGGGCTTTGCCAAAGTGCAGACCACTCGCTTGCCGGCAGCCGCCTGCCTCGTCGCGGAGTTGAAAGAAGTGGTTCTCGGTGCAATGTTGAGTGTCTCACCGTCAGATCTTATAACCCTCAACGGAATCTTCTAAGGGGCTCTGATGCCTCGCTAAATCTAGATAGTATCACACACAACCCAAAACCCCGAGTCCAGACAGGGTCAGATATATCTACATCAGAATTCTTGGACTCCAACGCTTCCTGCACGTGCCATACGCACAGAAACACGTAGAGGTGCGCACCTCCCAATGTCCTGCATCCGCTCCAGTAGCAGCCGAGAAGAGGCAGCCACACTGCCTTAGGGTTGATGTAAGGTGTTTCCCGAAACCCTAAACTGCCCGCCAAACCTCGGGACAATGACAAAGGCTCTTCTTGCCACCCCTAAGCCTGGACGGAGCGCCTGGTGCGTGGCGCACCTCTAACAACCGGAGTTGAGAAATGCGGACCACATGGTTACCATGGGAACAGTCTTAACTACATGGCTTAAGTTTCAGGAGTAGTGAGAGGCGTACGTCGCGTACGAAACCTCTATGTCAAAAGTGTCTCTGGGCTCCTGAAACGCTGAAGCCTAAAATCAGTTGAACCCAAACAAACAGGCGTGAACCCCACAAAACTCCCAGTCCAACACCTGCAGCTCAAACCTCATATACCGCAAATCTCAAAGCCCCAAGCCCCACTGCCTAAAGCACTAACACTTAAAACATCTCTAGACCGCCTCGGCTGCAGTCAAGATGCGGGACGCGGCAGCGACCTGCTGCGGCATAGGGTTCCAGTTTCAGAACATCTATGCTCTTGCCATCACCCATCTATTCAGCCTGTATTGGCCACTGACCAAGTCAGATGAAACCTACCAAGTCAAAAGAGCTTGCAAACATACCTGGGAATCAGCACGACAGAGTTTAGGATTTAGGGATTTAAGGCTCGGGGCCGGCAACCTTCGATCCCTGTAGCAAAATCTTGCGTGGTCTTCTCCAAACACACCCAGCACTTGGCGACAGGAACCATCAGAAACCCCGCAATCCCCTTAAAGCCAGCTTGAGGTGGAGGTACTGAGCTAAAGGGGTTTCAAGTCTATGGACTTAGGTTTGCGGTGATTATTCAAGCCCTGAAGCCGATTGAAACCCAAAACTCCGACCTCTCAACCTCAACCCTGAAGCCCAGAAAGACCCTGCAGCTATGCCCGGAAGCCTCAAATCCAATAAAGCCCCTTATACTATTCCTTTCGGAGTAGAAGTCAACACAAAGCCGAAGGCCAGCTGAGCCCTGCCTCCTGCATCTGGATTTCCACGTGCTTCCGCTGATCCTCTGCCGTCTTTATCCTGGGCCAAGCACTGAAATTCTAGGGGTTGTTTTGGGAAAGCTTGCCGGGGGTGGGGGTCGAAACATGGGGTGGGCTTGCTTCATCGAAGAATATGAGCAACAGGGCCCTTCCGAGACGAACTCAACTGACCAATTTTTTTGGACCTTTCAAAGCAAAAAGTTATGATCCTCCGGCAGGACAAGCCTGACACTGCAAGACTACCCACCAGGCTACCCTGCCCGGACACACTGAGCTGAGGTCAGCCAGAACCCACACCCAAACTCCCGAATCCCAGCCCCCGTGTGTACCAGCTACATTGTAGTGACCAGACCGAACCCCATTATACAAACCCTGCAACCACCATACCCTCCCTCTCTTTTTCCACAGGGGCAAAGGAGCTTGTCAGGCTGCCTGGCCACATGGCCCCCCCCTCTCTCTCTATCTCTCTCTCTCTCTCTCTCTCTCTCTGTTAAATGACACCTCCCTAATGTGACCTTAATGTTCACGATGCATTTGTGAATGCAACAATGCCGAATGGGATTGGCAAAGGAATGCTCGTGAGTGTGTGACTGGGGAAAGTGATTGATCTCGCGGTAGGTTGCTCTCACTGTTTGACTTGCTGACTGTAATTTTGCTCTCTCTCTCTCTCTCTCTCTCTCTCTCTCTCTCTCTCTCTAGGCTCGAGGACGCCTGTCAGATGCGAAGAAACACGAGCAAGGTCCAGAAGCAGTAGGAGCCCTGCAAAAACCCTGCAAAAGCCCAGCATCCGCGGAGCCATCTCCTCACGCGCGCGCTGGGCTCCTCCAGCAGCCAGCATCCTGGGAGTAGATGCGACGGCCCGGCGCAGGAAAGGAAAATAATGGCTACAAAGTCTGATTGCTATGCCAGCTACAGTGTTGACGTTCTTTCTGACGGACACCGTATGTGCCGATAGCAAGACAGGCGCAAAGGAAAGGTGTCTTTCGGCCCTGCAAAAAGCTCCGCCGTGGTAGAGTGCACCGATACCGGACATCCGTTCGGCGCGGGTGCAAACAAGAGCACCACAGCTGGCAGCACTCTCCAAAATTAAGCCTCAAGTCCCTTGAAACTTTAACGCCCCCATCCAATCTTCACGCCTTGAGGCTTTGAACACACCGAACTGCTCCCGGATTTAAGTTTAAGGTTCAATGCCCAGGGTTGGGAGTTCAAGGGGCCTGAAGTCCTAACGAAGCTCGAGCTGTCCGCGCGGCACAAATCAGATTCGAGCGTCACCAAGGACCGAAGCCCGTGCAGCGTGAAGTCGGCATTCGGGGCCTCGCAGGACTCGACTTGTAAACTCGGCTCAGAAAAGCCTTGCAGAACTACAAACCCGACCTTTTTCCAGCAAGAAAAACCGTCAAACAAAAATGTGCAAGGACATCGCTCTTCGCCTCGCGGAGCTGTTTTGCCGCGGCCGTCAGGTGCTCGGCAGCCGCGAAGCCGCTGAGAGCCTCGGCGGCCTTGGCGGCTTCTCGGGTCAGGGAAGGCTTTGGGCTTTTGGTTGGCTTTGGGGTTCGGGATCTTCGATTCTAGGGCTCAGGATGGCTTAGGGGGCTCAGGATGGCTCTGGGTTTAGAATTTCGGGCTTAGGTTTAAAGAGGGAAAGAATCAGAGAAGGATCCGAAAGCCTGCATCCTAGGGGTGCTGAGAGAACCGGAAAAATTACGCCAAAGAAGTTTGACCTCTTGACTTTGGTTGAAACTCATACTCAAAGAATCCCAACATGGCTAGCCCCCAAGACACGACACCAAGCCTAGATAGGTCGTCAAATTTTGCACCCGGCCTCGGCAAGGCCCGCGGCCAGACGCAGGCGGAGCTCCTCTTGGCAGCTTGGGGTCCTTTTTGGGGTTTAGGGCCCCGGGTTTTGGTTGATTGAACGCCTTGCTCCTTCTGCTGGTGTGTCCACAGCCAACACTCAGAATCCGCTCGAGCTCAAGGCCTCAGAAACGGTGTTCAAAACTCATCGAAAATCTCTTCAAAGCATCTTGACTCAGAAAACTACTCATGCTACCCGCCACCCCCTGCGAATAAAACTCGCGGGGCTCCTGCTCGGCGAGCAGCGCGCCGCGGAGCTCCTCCAGCTCTTTCAACTCCAACCCGGGTGCGGAGGCCGCAAGGTCCTCGAATCTTAGGTGGCGGCGAAAGCTTAGGGTTTATATGGGTATACCTTATGTAGGCAACCTTGGGATGTTCGTTCTTGAGATCCATGTGAAGAGCCTTTGCTTCCCAAAGTCTAGAGTCTAGAAGCCCAGAAAAAAATTCGAGTGCTTTCAATCCTGCTACAAGTGAAACCATTGAACGAAAGGTTTTGGACAAAGAGTTCCGGATCCTGCTGCAAAAGACAGGATTCACGAAGGGGTGTGTAGAGACAGAAATTTAGAGGCTGGTTCAATGATACTGAACGGAGGCTTGAAGAGGTAATACAGAGGCCTGAATGTTTCGACTAAGTTTTCGTGTGATACCATGAGGAATGTCATGACTAGCTGTTCGGGCTTGCGGGGGGTCATCCTTCTGCATCCGTGACAGAAGGAGCTAGAAGAGGCTGTGGGCAGAAGTCCAAGGCACCTCCAGTAGGGGCTCGGTCACGGGCGCTGTAGACATCGCAAGGCTTCGGTTGGGAGAGGGTCCGGGCTGCGCCGGCTGTGCCGGAGGCTGCGCCTGTGGCCAGCTGGGGATCTGCCAAGGCCCTGGGTCCAAGGCCACTTGCCCCGGACATGGAGCAAAGGGGCCATGGCCGTGGGAGCTGCAGCTAAGAGCTCGGCTGCCCGTCCGAGGTGGGGTGGCGTAGCTTGCTGCGGAATGAGTGGAGGCATTGGCTGAAGATTGTGCGTTGGCAGTAACGGGCTCTCTGATGAGACCGTCCTCGGGCAAAGGCGGGTCAGGCGAAGGCTCCCGAAACACCGCATCAAGCTTCGCTTGCAGCTGGGACGGCAGGGACAGGGCTCGTTCGTTGCGCGGCCCGGGCCGCCAGCCAGGCGGGCTTCCGACATGCCAATCTGGCGGACGTTCCACCTCGTGGGCGAGATGGGGAATCCTGCATACAGTATACAGCACTGCCTCTACGACAACGCTTGCAACCCAGAACAGTCTAAGCCCAAAAACTTGAAACCCCAAAATTCCCTTAAGCGTCTGCCTCTCTGGCTGCCGGCCGTTGAGGGCTCTCGGTGCCCGGTCCGACACCCACGCTGCGCTCGGTGCGCTCAATGCGCTCAGTCCTCTTCGGCGTTGTTATCAGTTTGGGTCTGGGATGTTCGGGTTTACCGCTTCGTTTGCTCAGAATTTAAGCCTTGCTTCGGTTCTCGCTGCTTGGGTTTGAAGTTTTGACTCTCTCGGGCAAGTCCAAACGAGGCCGTTCAACCTGGAGGCTTTGCCCCTTACCCTGGATATCCTGGTAGTCTTCCGATTACGTCATACATGGTTCTTTTGACTGTTACAAGTGTGTAGTCGTCAAAACTCTAGTATTGCTCTTTCTACCTTGGCTGTTGCTACAGTAACCAATGCCTATGCTACAGTGTTGGCTCTTTTGGTCGCGGAAACTGTGGATTATTAGGAGAACAAACCGGGAACTTGCACCCGAAACATTGCGAAGCCAACGCCAAGCTCCTTGTTGGAGCCTCAAGGGCTGCCAGCTCCCTGCGCAATGCATCCAGCTCGGCACGGAGCTGTTGCTCCAACGGGACCTCTCCAGCTCCAGCTTTGCTGACGTTCTGGGCGAGTTTTCGCAGGCGTTCACAGAAACAGAATGAAAAATTGGCACTTAGGCTCGACAACACGAGTGGAACCCCGCATGCGAATGCGAATAACAAATGCTCTGTCTCTGAAAACAACCGTACAAGTACTATTGACCATACAGCGTGAAACCTTGACTGAGCTGTTTCTGCTGAATATACTTTACTAACCCAAAAAGAACAAGTCGCCCCAAAAACAACATGTACTCGGTAAGAACTGACAAATGCTTAATGACGATACATCTACGTCTACTTCTACATGTGCATCTGTCCGTATATGCCGATATTCTCACACTTCACCACAAAACATTTGCGACAATTAAACTGCAGCAGTGCCAAGCTCATGGTGTTTACAGGTGTTACGGATCTCCGGTCTGCGATTTCAACGTGCCCCACCAGGTGTAAAACCACAAGCCAACCCAAGTGTTGTTGATGCGTGGGGCCTCTGAAATATTGCCTAGCACCTGCCAGCGTAAGAGCCTTTGCATCTGGAGTTGTGGGCTTCGTGAACCTTGGCCAGGCCTTGGCAGATTCCGTCTGACGCATTTTCACACAACACTCATGTCGTCATGAAAAGGTAATAAAATTGGAACACATCTCTCTTCCCCATGCCCTACGGCTGCTTCTCGCCTGACTGGGACGATGCGACTCCGGTGCACGGCTGACGGATGTCCGCGGAGGAGTTGGACCTGCAGACACCTGCAGGTAAGTCGGGTTTGGACATGTGGACAATTAACTTTCGCGAATCTTGGCAAACAGCGACTTGAATATGCCGGGTTCCCGAAGCATACAAGTGTACTGAGGCAATTGTCATCGACAGACTAGGAATCTGCAAGCTCGTATCAGGCTTTTCAAATTACTTTCGCAAACAAACCAGGAACGAAAAACTTAATCGCTCCAAGAATGGTTACCTTGTGAATTTAGGCGTCCGTCGGTGCCAACGGACAAAAAAACAGCTTCAACTGCGGAACGCTCTTCGTAAACTCAGACACGTCACAGTTCCCAGAGTCTCATGCACGAACTTGGACCGATCCATACCACCTGGTCGCGGCTAAGCCCGTGCAATAACAAGTAAGGGCCGAATGATCTGCAAATACGAAACGCGGTGAAGTCCAATTTTCCATGGATCGATGCCATGTTGATCTCAACACTGTGTATGCCAATTGGCTGGAAGAACTTCGGCGGCCCGTGCGCGGCGCATCCAATGACGGAAAGGACATGTCGATCATTCGAAAGTCATCCTTCGCATTCTTCATTCGTTCATGATTCATGCACATTAGATTTTCTTGGCACATTTGGCACATCTTGCTCTGCAGCAGCACAAAACATCTGGATCTGAACCAAAATGCCAACGAAACTGCCCGACATGAGGCACGGCACGCACGCACGCACACGCACACACACACACACACAGACACAGACACACCACATGCTTAAATAGATCAAGCTCCACATACAACAACGGCATTTTCGGCACGTTAACTACCACCGTATCCGGAGTTTGTGACAAACTGCGATGCCAAAACTTCGGAAATCCAACTGTCGGTTGGACGTCCCATGCATTCGCAACCTATCTCAAGGCGAGGCTTCCCACCCATGCCAGGGTGAAGCTCGTCATGCGCGTGCACATAATCCGTGGCACAGCGGCAGGCGGCTCAGCTCGTCCGGGTCGGCTAGATCGAGGACCTCGTCCAGGGCTGGCGCAGCAGTATGTGCCGGTCCCGTGTGGCCGACGGCTTGCTAGACGGCCACGGAAAGCACGCTCCAGGGCGTGCAGTGCCGGCGGAGCCCTGTGTGCGCGGAGGGCGACAAGGCACCTGACCAGCTGTACTGCTTCCACCGCCCACCCACTTCGCAACCGAGCACGCGCAGGTTCGCGCGCCTCCTGCAGCGAGTTCGGGGTAGGTGGTGGCGGTGCGCAGAACTGCTCCATCCTGTGTGGCCGCGCTGGGGTGGGGCTTGCCTTCTCGCGTCAAGGGTCGCATCACAGCAGAGGGCCCCACCCAGTGGTGCAGCACCGTAGATGACGGCGATCGTGAGGCGCAATGCCCGGTGCAGTGGTGTTGATTAGCCATTGTTGGGGCACCATGTGTCCCTCAGGTCCAACAGCTTCCCGGGCAACTTTGCACCACGCCCGCCCAACTAGCTTGGCTCGTCCAGCCAGCAGGCCAGTCCGGGGGCATGCGAGTGCATGGTCTCCGAATGCATCAGCGCGGCGTCCGCACCCATGCTCCGAGGTGCTCCCGCAGCGGCCTAGTGCGAGCCGGAGTCGGCTGTCACAACCTGGATTTCATTTTGTTGGGGGCCACGCGCAGCGAAACAACTCTGGAAATGTTAAATGATTGGTTGTGTGTTTGCTGCAGGCCGGCTTGGTATTCAATGTCGCCAACTCATCCATCGAGCACGGCTTCATGCAACGAAAGCTCCACTCACGCCATGTGGTGGCCGCCTACGCTGTGCCGAGGACGTATGGGGACGTAGGTCCTCGCCGGGAGTCGGCTGGGGGCAGGGGCGTGGAGCCAGTGCGTTCATGGCAAGTCCTACACCACGCAACTAACACATGGGCTACAGCGTGCGAGCGACTTACAAGAAAGTGGAAACAGAAGACATGTAAGCAATAAGGCTAAAGACTGCACGAGGCACTCGCTTGCCGGACGTGACTGCTGTCGTCTGGTGGCTGCCGGCCTTTGGCCAAAGCGGAGCCGCCACGAAGTCTAGCTGCTGCAGTCACGAAAAGCCCGTGTCGTAGAACAGAAGCAAAAGCTTACAAACACGAGAAGCTGAGAAGTAGAAGCATGTTAAAGCGTAGCATAACGGGCTAAGCAGCTGGAAGTTGAGCGATCGGAGAAGGCCAAGTGGAAAAGCCCCTCGAAAGCTCTGCCCAAGGTGTGGGTGGGCGGGAAAAAGAAAAGCAAGCTGAGAAAGCTGTGTTGTTGCTGTGGTGTCCCGCTCGAGCAGCTGCGAAGCGGGCGACGGGACAGGACTTGACCAAAACCCTCCTGAGTAAACACAGTGACCGTTCATGGCAAGTCCTACAC